AAAAAAAACCCCAAACCCTAAGAAATTAGAAGAGTATGTTCTTTAGAAGCTTTGCAGGTATCTGTTTCAGTAACTCTTCCTCAGAAACACACTGAAACTGAAGGGAAGTCAAGACTGCATCACTCAATTATATTACAGAGCGAGTACTTCAAGCACAATTATAAGAACCTGGCAAAGCTACTACCTGGGGTAGTTTAAGCATCTTCCAAATGGAATGAAAGTATACCCTGCCAGCATCTCTCCACATCTAAAAATCCAGGAAGTTCTTTATGCTTTCAAAGAGTCATAGCAGGAGTTTAATGAAGCAGAAGCTGAAGAGTGCTCTCTAAACACCTGGGATAATCTTCATTTTGGACTCTTCTAAAGGGCAGGTGCGGCGCATCTACAGGGAAACTAAAGCAACCCTCTTTGCACCTCGGCTGAACAGCGGTATTGCTCAGCGTAATTCTGTCCATGGTGAAGTGCTGCTATTACGTATCTTATGACAGTCCCAGAGTGTGAAATAAAAAAAAAAAACAGTGCTGCAATATCTGCTGAAAGAAGGTGCACCTTTAAATTTATTAATGCAGGCAGAGAAGAGAAATCATAGTGTTCATTTAGAAAATCCATTTGAGAATTTGATGTGAAAGAATGGCTCCCATCGGAAAGGTGACTCTCAACTCCTCCAGAAGCTGTAATATCTAATATTCTGTTTAGTATTTCTTCAGTGATAGGTAGTCATTTTGAAGGTGCCTCTCTCTACAGCTTGCATTCTGCAAACAAATCCACATTCAAAATCACCTTCAGTTTGTACTTTTCTCTTTTTCTCCTCAAAGCAAAAGTAACAGTGTAAAGAAAAATACTACAGCAAGCAAACCATGCATAGCGTTTCCATCAATCTGAAAAACTGAAAACAAGAATTCTCTCTAGTAGTATACAAGCACACACACAAAAGCTACAGGAGCCTCAAAGACTGAAAGAGTTTTAGGCTTTTGAAGCATTGGATCCACTTTCAAGATGGGTACCAAAAATGACACTTGCACCTGAAAGGTGAGCTGGAGATCCAAAGTCTGAGATTTTAATGAGATCTGCCCAGCTCCAGCAGGTAAGTGTCAAGGTAACGACCCCTGGGCAGTGGTAACTTCCATCACAGCCACGCTGACCAGTAGGCACAGCAGCAGTCCCACTCCTGTGCAGCAGGCAGCTCCCTCGGAGAAAGCACATATCCAGATGAAGAAAAGGAGCAACAAGACCTCTCCACTCTTTTTTTTTTTTTTTTTTTAGTTAAGCTGCGAAACTGTGTGCAAAATTCATTTTCTAGAAGATATTTTTAAAAGCTTCATTCTTCAGCTGCAAACTGACATTTTGCAGTGAAATATATTTTTGTACTGTCTAGAAATTCATTTTTTCACATTTCTCCCCAGAGGCAATGCCATCCGTGAAAATTATAACTGTGCCAGTAACATTACTGCGTTAAACAACTGGCTTTTTCATAACTAAATGCTAAGTTTAAAAAGAATTAACTATTCTCAGTAGGCAAGTCTGCATCATGGTTAAAAGAAAACAAGTCCCAGCTAGCCAGAAACCTTGGAGATATCTTAACTTGCTTTTCAATTTCTGCTGCTTCCAATCCCTGTCTTGCTCTGTTATGCAGGAGAATGTAAGTCTGGTTTTGCAATTCAGACCATTTATGTCTACTCCAGCCTTTCAAAGGCTTCAGCACAATTAGGATTGCACAGTTGCATATCATCCACCAGGAGTAATCTGGTGCCTGCAGCAAAACAGCAAGACAGAAGTGCAAAAATCCTTGCAGCTTCATCTGCAAGTCTGTACAGGGGACAGCTTTAAATAAAAAAAAACCCCATAAGCCTGAAATTCATTGGATTGCTTCTTGCTTTCCTTCTGCTGCCACAGTCACCTCCCATTCTGCTCCAGCAACCAAGACACAAGAAGAGAAGTGGAGAAGAGCTGTTCAGCGAGCTGTTCTTAAGTC